GGGGGTCCCCGTCCCCCCCCGACACCCCCTCGTCGGGGGCGGCGGCGTCCGCCCTGCGCGGCCGCAAGGCCAAGACGTGACCCCCCCGGCCGCCTCCCTGCGGGGCCGGCAAGATGGCCGACCGGGGTCCTGCCCAGGGCCCAGTGGGCGGCCAGATTTGGCAGGGGGTAGCGGGGGGCACAAGATGGCCGGCAAACAGCTGAGGGGGGCGTCCACAAAATGGCTGACGGCGGGGTGATCCTAAAATGGCTGCCTGACCCCTCGCTACCCCCTACAAAATGGCTGCCGGGAACCGCCTCGGCAGGTAAATGGCTGCCCAGGCCCTCAAAATGGCCACCCGGGCCTTCAAAATGGCCGACTGGAGCCACCGGGAAATGACCGCCAAGATGGCCGACAGTGGTGCCAAGATGGCCGCCGCGGCCCCCAGGAGCTGCCCCCCCCATGATGGCCGACAGAAGCCTCCCAAAATGGCTGTCCTGGTGACGTCACAAGTGACAGCCATCTTGAATTGGGTGATGTCACGACCAGCGGCCATCTTGACCAGCAGTGATGTCATGGCTGGTGGCCATCTTGAATCTGGTGATGTCAGAGGCAGTGGCCATCTTCTTTGGTGATGTCAGAACCAGCAGCCATCTTGAGCCAAGTGATGTCACAGCCGGTGGCCATCTTGCTCTTGGCGGCGGGCGGGCGGAGCCGCCATCTCGATGGCGGTGGGAGCAAGCACTGGCAGCCATCTTGACTCCAATGGATGTCGTATGCAGCCGCCATCTTGAAATGGGGCAGCGGGGCGTGGCACCCAGTGGCCGTCTTGGCCCCAGCTGACGTGGGACTTGGCGGCCATCTTGACCCCAGCAGACGTGGCAGCTGGCGGCCATCTTCACTCCAGCAGGCATAGGATCTGGCAGCCATCTTGATTCCAGCGGACGTCAAAGGTGGTGGCCATCTTGATGCCGGTGGACGTGGGAGGCGGCGGCCATTTTGACTCCGGTGAATGTTTGAGCTGGCAGCCATCTTGATTCCAGTGGACGTCAGAGGTGGTGGCCATCTTGACTTCTGTGGGCAGCAGAGACAGCAGCCATCTTGATTCCAGTGGACGTCAGAGGTGGTGGCCATCTTGACTCCAGTGGACTTTGCAGCCGGCGGCCATCTTGACCCCGGCAACTCCACCAGCCCCCTCGTTTCTCCCCCCCTCCTTCCCCGGCGGCCATCTTCCAGCGGGAGCTGGCAGCTGGGGGTACTG